ATGCCTCTAGAACATGGCCATATAGCCCGAAAAAACCTACAAGAACCTAATAATACTTTGTTTTTAATTGCAATTGTTTATTTACCAATTAGCTGATAAAATCAGTGTAAAAATATAAAAGTATGTCAATGTAAAAAACGTGGCTCTTAACACAGAGAGGGGAGATGCATGAAGCCTGTTTGCCCCAAACGACCCTGTGGGGAGGGGTTCTGGAGGGGTTAATTGGGACTAAAACAAGGGGAAGAGTTATTGCCTGGCCTTCCTCCTCCATTTGGCTGCACTGACATGTAATAATAATAATAATAATAATAATAATAATAATAATAGTTATTATTATTATTATTATTATTATTATTATTATTATTATTATATAAGTCTGGATTATTGATGTCGCCATTCCAGGTGACAGTGGCATTGAGGAAAAACAAGAGGAAAAACTGAGCCACTATCAAGACCTCAAAATCGAACTGCAAATGCTCTGATGGCATAAACCATTACGGGTGGTCCCACTGGTCACTGGCGCACTGGGTGCCGGGCCAAAAGATCTCAGCTGGCATTTGGAAACCATAAACACTGACCAAATCACAGTCTGTCAACTGCAAAAGGGATTTGTGTGCATCATTCAAAAATACATCGCACAGTCCTAGACGCTTGGGAAGGGTTTGACTTGAGATTTTGTGATACGAAATCCAGCATAGAGATCTTGTTTGCTGTGATATACTGTGCTTTTGTGTCAATAATAATAGTAATAATAACAATAATAATAGTAATAATAATAATAGGGTTGCTGATACAAAATCCAGCATATATCATGCTTGAATAGGTAAGTCTTCAACCGGTTCTTGAAAGAGATTAAGGAAGGAAGGGGCAGTTTTAATCTCAATGGGGAGGGGGGAAGTTCCAAAGAAGGAGGACCCCCCCCCTCATTGATGCCAACTGTATTTGTGACTGCAGCATAGAATCATAGAATCATAGAATCATAGAATCAAAGAGTTGGAAGAGACCTCATGGGCCATCCAGTCCAACCCCCTGCCAAGAAGCAGGAATATTGCATTCAAATCACCCCTGACAGATGGCCATCCAGCCTCTGCTTAAAAGCTTCCAAAGAAGGAGCCTCCACCACACTCCGGGGCAGAGAGTTCCACTGCTGAACGGCTCTCACAGTCAGGAAGTTCTTCCTAATGTTCAGATGGAATCTCCTCTCTTGTAGCAATGGGAAGGGTCTCTCCAGAAGATCTTAACAATTAGTCACCTCCAGATTGGTCTACTGTAATGCGCTCTACGTGGGGCTGCCCTTGAAAATGGCCCGGAAATTTCAGTTGGTTCAATGGGCGACGGCCAGATTGTTAACTGGTGCTCCTTACAGGGAGCGGTCAACCCTCCTGTTTAAGGAGCTCC